TCACCAAAGGATGAGGAATGCTTTTATGCCTACTTATGATTTTCTATCTTTAAAGCTTCAACTTTGGAGTCTCTAATCTGTTGGATAAAATCCATTGCTTTTTCTCCACTGCAGGTAGTAGGGTAAAGGGATTTATAGCTGGCATGATGATTATGAAATGTTTATTGTTGAGATTGGTTTGATTTTGTTTGCCACTATGTGTTCAGAAACTTTTATGTTAATGGGACATCACTTGTCTCTAGATTGTTCCAGGTTCGAGGAAAGTTGTATGAGCTTCTGACCAATTGCATCCCCCTGAGATCATATTAAAGGTCTTCCTCATTTCCCTGATGCTCTAAATTTCCCTCTTACTGGTTAGTAATTTTTACCGAATGTGTTAATATGTTTTTGATTTCAGAGACTGCTTTATGAACTCTTGAAGAAACTAGATTCTGAACTGAAGCATGAAGTCTCGTACTGGGCGGCATACTATGTAAGTGCATTTTATTGTCGAAAATTGTTTTTTTTTCCCTTCAATTTTTTGTTGACAAATGCTGTTGAATCATTTGAGTAGGGTCTACGCCAGATGTTTGCATTTGCCAACTGACTTGATGTGGAACTTATCTCCCTTTCTGTGTATGCACTTGTGTCTATTATACACATGTAACACGTACATTTATGTATGTACATACATCTATTCATGTATTACATTTATCATTCTTAGTGAACAAAGTTTTTCTTTTCTGTTTCTTTCTCTGTTTTGCTGTTTGGTCATTACTCTATGGTCTCCAGCCTTCGGAGTTAAAAGTTAGTATTTTCACAGCGTGACCTTGTGCCATTGTGTGCAATGTTCTTGTGCTAATTAGAAATTTTGGTTAGCCAACACTATTTTTTATTTATGAACTGATACCAGTTATTATTCGCCAAGCTTTTTATTTAGAAAAAACATACAATCTATGTGAGGCTAACAGGAGTGCTTGTTTGCTGAGAATATTTTAAAACACGAGAGGACTAATGAGAAGTGCTTTAGAAAGGATTGAACAAGTTCTTCACAAAGAAACTCAGGAAACTTTTGTAGTTTGCTCAAAAACTCTGCAAATTTATTTTATTTGTCATTATCGTGATTTATTTATTATTTTTGTTCTTTTTGGGCAGGAGCATCGGATGCGCCTTGGACAGAAGGCAATATTTCATCTTGAAGGTACAATACTTGCCAGAATCTGTCTATTCATCTGCATGTATAAGAAAACACTAGTTCACATACTCTGGAATGCCTCATTTAAAAATTTATTTATATATACTTGTTTTTGCTGCTTGGAATGCAATTGAGTCCTACTTCCTGTTTTCTGAAATGCGCACTAGGGAAATGAGTTAATTTGTCTGATTAGTTTTGTTGGCCTGTTGCATGTATGTTAAATTGTCACTATGATTAAGTGACTTGAAAGACACATTATCAGTATTTAGTGGACTATCCATGCTGTGGCCTTTTTGTTTGGCTAAGAGACTTTTTTACATGTTGGTAAGTTTGAAATTCTGGCTTAATTACTTTTTCTTAACTATCACATATCGAGTTAACATAGAATTATCTGTTGTTAGCAGGTTTCTCAGTGGTTGTCTTTTCTGTTAATCAGTAGGAACTCTTTAAGGTGTTTTGCTGTTGTTCATGTCCAAGCCTTGTCTACTAAAACCTTCCTAAAGGCAGAAGATGACCAGCAATTCTTATTTAGAAAATCATGAACTCTCTCTTTTTCCTACTTCTGGAAAAAGTTTTGAGTTTTCTTCCTTGCATTGTTCAAAATGCACATGCTGTTTGCATCAGCTTAATTTCTCAGCATAAATTTATGCAGGGTTTTAAAAATTTTCTTTTAAAGGGCTCAGAAACTAAAGCTCCTTGCTTTTGATACTTATTTCCCGTAAAGAGCTGCGTTATAGAGATTATGCTTGTGTTTCTTGGAAAGTAAATTTACTGGTTTTCCATTTGTTGTGCGTACATAACTGATCCAGTTATGCTTGTTATGTTATCAAGTGCAAGCTAGTAAGACATCTGTGATGTAGGTCGTTTGCATGTTTTGTACTGCGTTAGGCGTTTGAATGAGTACCATTCTCATTGGTTTTCTTATTCACGTTGCAGCATTTGTGGCCAAGTTCATGAGCATTTACAAGGGTTTCCTCATTTCAACATTTGGCTAAAGGAGATCAATGCTGAATTTGTTAGCTTCAACTTTCAAAGATAAATCTTTCTTCGTTCAAATGCTTTGCAGCGATGAAGTTTCAAGTAACGTATGTCTTGGGACTAGTCAGTGGTCACTAGTGTCGAATTCTAGGCAGCAGAATGAACCTGGCTTGGGACTTGGACTAGTAATTACTTGCGTAGTTACATGTACGCGTTCTCATTTTCTTGTACATACATGGTTATTCTGATATGTGTTTGTATTTGCACTGTAGAATCAAGTTAAGCTATGATGAATTCCTTGTGTACGCATTGCTGCTTCGATATCGTAACTCACTTGAGACTTGACCAATAACCAATGTCATGGAAGCATATCCTCCGTTTGGATTGGCCTATTTTCAAAAGTAAATTTTTTAAATACAATATTACAGTAATACACAAATAAAAACAATTTAAAAAAATATTTCATTGATATAATATATCAAGTATTTCAAAAAATATTTATAGTAAAAGTTTTTCATATATACTGTTAAAGTAAAATATTTAAAAAAAGCACATTCAAAAACAGAAAATCCAAACAGAGTGATAGTTATTAAACTCGACCTGATAAGGAATCTGATAGAGGGATTGGATCACTGATTCAATCAGTGTGTTACTGATTAAATCGGTGAGTATTAATATAATATTTATAAATATAAAAGTAGTAATTCTAATAATAAATAATATATAATAAAGTGCTTTTTGATACTAATTATTATACTTAGAAAGGCATATAATAAATATATAGATATTAATAGAAGATTTAATTTTATTTTGTCATACTTTTAAATAAATAAATAATATAGTCAAGTATAAAACAAATTTATATCAATTGTTTTAAAAAAATAGCATTATTTTTTATTATTTAAAAACAAAGTAATTTTCTAACTAATTAAATATTGTCAGTTTAAAAGTTAATTAATTGTATAATAAAAAAATAACAAGTTTATTAAAAAAGTAGTTATCAAATAAAAATTAAATAAGTGGTAAAGTCTATATATATTTAAATGAAGATCCAATGTACAAATCTTATCCAAAGCATATATACATTTTGTTTAAAAAACAAAGACCCATAAATTTTTTTTTCTAAAAAAGGTAAAACAGGTCGATTGAAAAATTGGACAGGTTTTCGGTTGAACCATTGGGTCAACCGAGTTTGTTCGGATTTGATTGGATCAATTTCTTATCCAATCAAACTAGAGATTCGGCTTGGTCTAATGATTGGATCATTGGGCCGGGTCGGGTTGAGTTGGATTTAATAACTATGCATGGAAGGAATAAATAGATCAGTGTACAATTTATTTTTAGCACAAATCATCTAAACAACATTGAACTATTTATATAGTATGTTTTCAAAACTCTGTACTTTTTATGCTTAAAATTGCGTGATATTTATGTTAATTGATGAAAAACTTGTTGAATATATTTCTTCTTTCAGTTTTCTTTTCTTTCACCTTTCCTTACATCCGTTCCTAATTCCTACCAATGTGGTTGACTTGATGGGCAACGGTATTTAATTTTCTTGAGATTTCTTACAATCACAAACTCCACATCCAACTATATAAAAGCGGGAGTTGGCACCTAAATTGGCTTGAAATTGCCACTTTAGGTGGTAGCCTTAATTGGTTTTTTTTCGATCGAGTCTCTATTCACATCGAATCCCCCTCCCCTTTAGGTTATAAGAATTCTACCGTTTCGACCAAAAAAAAAAAACCAATGAATAGTCACTTTTTTGTCAAGCGGTTATCACGTAATTTTCAGCAACTTTGATGGCTTTTGTTTTGGTTGGTTTTCTTGGCTTTTCGGCAACTGCATTTGCATGAGGCTTTTGTGAGGACCCAAAAAATATATATATAAACCTGTGCATATTTCATTTGCATTTTCTTTAATTCTTTAATAATTTCTAGCATTACTTTCACCTGTTTCCAAATAAGTTCGTAAAAACACTTTTCATGCGAGAAATAATATAATTTTCCTAAGTTATGAAATTTCTTGGTTTTGTTAGACTAAATTAAAATCTTTAGGGTTAGATTAATTTTTTCGCCTTAACATAAAATGTTAGAATACTTAATTCCTTTATGCTAAATTAATGATACTTGAGTCGATAGCTTTACTATCTTAAAATAAATTATTTAAGTTCCTATGATTAATTCCAATTAGTTGCTAATGTTAAATGTTAATAAGAATTTCCGCGTTAAGATGAACACCAATGAATTTTAGATAAATATGATTCTAATATACTAAACATACTTAAGGCGTGAAAATTCGATAAATATATCATTATCTTTCTTTGTTTTCACAATAAGTGCGTAAAAATAATTTTTATGTGCAAATTGACACCCTTGGATTTAATTATCATTTCACTTGACTTTATATTACTAAATCGATAAATTTCGAGTTAGACTAACTCCACTTCTTGAGAAAATAATAATTGGAAATTTTAATAACTAATTTAATCGCTAAATAATATAGGAATTACTAGGAACCTTAATATTAAAGTTTAATCGAGAATTATTCGATAAAAATGGTTTAGGTATATTAGGGTATAATTAGGCGTTCAAATCACACTTGGAGATAATTTTTAGAATTAAGTTGGATTTGAGAAATTAAGTTGAGGTTAGGGAGCAAAGTGAAAAGACTAAAATGCCCTTACATTTCCATGCAAACCAAACGAAACCTCTGACAACAATTTTAATCACCGCAACTATCGGCCAATCACATTTTCTCCAATTCGATACGCAACCGATTCGCACACACGCAACCTCTGCTCCAAAACCGTAAACCATTCTTTTTCCTTCTCCAAATCCGCGGCACCATATTTTCTACTTCATTCCTATATCACAAACCACTACCGCAACTCCATTCCATTTCCTCTGCAACAATTCACTCAGACCACACTCCACCTTCACCTCGTTAACATCGACTGAGATAGAGAGGGAGAGACTGAGCCGCACTCTGCAATCCGAGAGGGAAGAAAAGAATCCGCGAGCTGCAAATTTTTCCTGCTCTGTCCGTGAGCTGGAGAGAAGAAAGGGGAGCAGCACTGCGTGAGCTCCACCCCTTGTCGCACTCTTCACCTTCCACCAACCACAACCATCTTCACCGCAACACCATACTAGCTGCAATCAGTTTCCAGCAGCAACTACTGCAACCAAAATCTGCTGCGTGCGTGAGAGCCGAGAGGAAGGAAAATTTTTCAGATTTCCTGTGCGAAGGCTTAGCTTACTGTGAGGTAATTTCTGGACCATTTTAGGATTGATCGGAAGTAGATTGAGCCATCTAGGGGCATGCATGTATTGTTTGTGTCCGGATGAGGAAATCAAAGAAAAGGAAAATCTGATTTTTGATGGAAATAGTTTTGCGAGAAGCCGAAACAGAAATGCAGCTTTAATCTTGTTTCTTTGGAGTAATCTGAGCTTTTAAATGTTGTTAACTAACTAAGAACTAGGTGATTAAGTCTTGCCTGAAGTTAGTTAGTTCGGATTAAGCTAGAAAAGAAGAGATGAAACAGAATCGGCTTGCCTGCAAGCTCATCCGAGAGTGGCCGAACAACTTGCTGGTTGATTGATGAATTTTTGGTAACAACCGAGCTGAATCTGGACTGGAAATGCTAGCTAATTAGTTCAGTAGTTGTGCATGTGAGATTTAAGTGCCAAATACAAGGTTTTAACCGAAGGAAAATTTTGTTTATGACTGAGTAAATGCTGGAAAATTTACGTGACTTGCCAAGGGAGTGAAACCAGAATTTGCAGTTGTTTCTGGAATTTTTTCATTAGCAAACAATGTTTAGAAATGCATGAAATATATGTGTCTTAAGTCTTGTAAGATATTCAGTTGTAAAGTACTTGATCCGTTGGATAAATTGACCAAAAATGGTGAAACATAGCTGCTGCAATTTTTTTTCCAGCTTAGCCGATGGTGGCTCTTTTGAGTTTTAATGGAAACTTGGTGAGTGGGCTCTATGAATTCCCACAATGACTTGGATGATCTGATTAGCTAGTCAAGTATTTGCTTGTCGGATTTGAGTACTTAATATCATGTATTAGCCGAGTAAAAAGTTGGATTTATGACCAATTAGCTGCTGGAAATTCTGTTTAGCCGATGACAGATTTATTGTGGTGGGATTATTTGCCGAAATTACATGTTATTTTTTTATTTCATGTCGGAAAATTTTGATGGTGGGCTCTATGAACTCCCACCCTTGGATTAACGATTGATGATGGATATAATGCTGGTTTAGTGCTTAAATGGGTAGATTAATGATACCTAACTAGTCTCGACTCAAGGGATGTGTGTTCAGTTCAAAAATGTTCAGGTTTGCCCTGTTCAATCGCACCCCTTTTGCAGAAATTTGAGGGTTTCATGACTTATATATCATGTTTATATGTTGAATATATGGTGTATAAAGTTTCATTTAAAAATATTGAGGTTTGGTTGGTCAATGGGATCAATTTCGTGAAGCCAGTAAATCTGGAAAACTGTTTTCGTAATGCTCTGACCGCTTTGTATTTCGGCCATAACTCTGTGCTCCGATATCAAATCGAGTGCCGTCAGCGGCATTTGAAACTAGATATCCCAGCCTTTCCAACGGTATAAAATGTATGTTCTGGTTCCATGTGTGTGAGCCAAACCAACCATTTAAAGATGACTACTCTGTTTCTCTGTTTTACAAGAACAAAATGCTGAGGCTACAACTTGTGGCTCGAATTCGAGCTAGTTGGGTGCCGAATTTCAAAATGATTTCTTCTGTGAAATTATAGCTCTATGACTATGTTTTCCAATGCCATAACCATGCCAAATTCCGAGTTAATTTGAGTGACCTGTGATCAAAATATGAAACCTGCTCTGCTCTTGAAAACCATGATTTTTAGACAGATTTGATGCAAGGCTTGGTTTAGACTTGATAATTAAATTTCTTGGTGTTAAACACCCACCAAAGGTACCATGAATGTTCTTTAGATTTTGCCTCAACAAATGAACCATGTTTAGAGGATTTTCTCTTGGTCAAAAGTTTAGAAAAGGAAATTTTCATACACAAGGCAGCCTTGCCTTAAAATTTTGGAAACTTGAGTGATTTTGTTAAGTGACTTTCCGTGCATATTTTTCTATGAAATTTGACAGAGGAATAACCCTTATATGGTAGTATTATACTGCTAATTATGGTGTTATTCTGAGGCCGTTTCATGGGTCAAATAAATTACCAAAGTTCGAGACTTGATTTTGGAAGACCCTTGTTTAACAAGAAACTTTTAGTAACTTTGAGCTACCGTATCTTGGTGCTCAAAACTCCGTTTCTCATTCCGCTTGTTTTACTGTAAACTTGGATTGCGACTCTAAAAGAGTATCAAATTTAAAAGGCTAGTTCCAATCAAGTGAATTTTGCCGAATTTTCAAAGTTGGCCAAAAACCAACTTAAATCTGCCTTATGAACCAAAACAGTAACTTTGAGCCCATTTTTGCCTATCTTCCATTTAGAGTCATGGAAAAGTGTATTCTAGGAACTTTTAGTACTTTCAAAGAGGTTTCCAATAGTACCAAGTTTTCCAATTTTGGGCTCGTAGAGAGTAAGATATGATGTTTCAAAGATTACTTGTTAAATCTGGAATTTTCTAACTTAAAGGAAACTAAGGGGTTTCGAACTCTTCATTTCTTTCAATATCATTTGATTGTTTTACATTTGAATCCAGAGATGGAAATCAGATTTGTCTTGTGTTCTAAAACTCCACTTTTGAACCTCGAGTTACACGAATTCTTAGGCTCGTCTCCGCGTTAATTTCTTAGATTGCACTAGCGTACAATCTTCATCAAAAACTAAAGAATTCGTAGCGATATTGAGTGGTACTTGAATTATTGTTTGCTCAGGCAACCGAGGAGATCTCCAAGAGGAACTCGGAGCGGACGCCTAAAACGCTTGTTTGAGACCTATTGCGCTTGTTTGACTAGATGAGTGTTCCATATAGGAATACATAATGGAATAAGTCTAGAACATGCTCATTTCATGATTTCTAAGTGTTAAGTACTATGTGTTAAATATCTACCATACCCATGCTTGAAAATGCTCGAATAACATGACTTGGTATGCTATGGTTGCATACGTCGTTGGAGTGAATCTCCTCGACTCTCACATGGTAAAAGTGGGATAACGGCCAATGATGGCCTATTAATACGGCAAATGCCTGCCAAATAACCATCATTACTCAACGTTAACTGCCAACCGTTAACCGTTAACCGTTTACCAACCCACATGACTACCTGATTACTTGACTATTTGCTCACATGATTTCTAATCTATATGATTATTCGATATCCGTGAATTACATGCTCCCATGAAATCAACTTGTATTGCTTACGTGCTAAGTATCCACTTGATTACTTGATTATCATGAATCACATGTTATATGAAGTTGTCCATCATGTTAGGCGAGTGTGTACTTCACCTCACTCGACCTATTCAAATGATGAATTTTACTTTTTGTCGAATTACTTGATTACCTGTGCATGTTGTAAGCTATAAGCTGAACTTGGGCTCTGCCTCGGTTACTGACCTACTCGAGCCAGGACTGGGCTCGGTCGGGTAGGTTGGAACCCTGGACAACCGTTTCGGTATACTCGAGTACTATCACTGGAGGGATAAGGTGATGGCCAGTCAATCGAAGGAGTTACCGATCGGAGTTATAAAGACGGGAAGTGGACCGAGTACTGTATCCTTTTGTGCTTGCTTTGCTATTAATAATGTTATTGCTCTCCTAGTTGACATTTCTCGGGTAAGACTCCTCATGAGCATTAATCTCTGAGATGAAGCAATCCTTGTAATGTTCTTCTAGTCAGACGAGCCACTATTTGTTTGACTAAAAATTCATGAAAATATATTTATATGGTCATTCATTCCAAAATTACGTTAGTAATTTTAGATAATTTACGAGTTGTACTCATAGTAAAGTTACCAGCAAAATGTACTACCACTACATGTGTTTTCAAAGTAGCAATTACCCGAGTAATGATTATCACCTCATGATAACCTGCGATTGTGTAACCTCGAACCATGCATATGACATGCACAACTTTCTTGATTTGTTTGAACTGTTAGAGTGTCTTGGAACCTCGCTGGGCTGTGTAGCTCATTCCACGTTGTGATTTTCTTTTACAGGATTTGAGACCAAAGGTGCTCGGAAGTAGTACTAGATTGTTTACTTTCATGAATGTAATTCGAGTTAAACATTGTAGTTTTGCCTTAGGTTGCCACTTGAAGCTGGAAAAGTGTAAACCCTGGATTTGTATGTGGCTTGTATGAATTTGTTACTTGGCTTGTAAGGATATATTTGAATTGATGTTTTGTTTCTTGGGTTGTATTCGGGAAGGTATTTTAAGAATCGATGTTGGCTATCTTAAGGCACTGTTATCTCTGAAGTTAATGTGATTCTAGAAACCGGCTTATTTGGAGGGAAACGATGTTGTAATAGATTAGGTTATACTTCGGAAGGATTTTTGCTAGCTTGCTTGCGTGAGTCCTGGCGAGAGATAGGCAGATGGCCCGCCAACCCTCTGGTTCGCCTTAGGGGAAAGTGGGGTCGCCACAGCTTTGGCTTCCTCATGTCATTAGTTTAGCCTTAGGTTTGTCTTATTTTTCAGTTATGCCATTCATTTTTTCCTTCCCTCAAGTTGCATGCTATAGTTGCTTGATTGTTTGGTAATATTGTTGTCTTCCAACCCTATTTTTTGTTGACTCATTGTTCACTTTTGTGGATGCCTCACTTTTTGTTTCTACATGTTTCTTTGAAACCCGCCTCTTCTTCATTGGAAAATTGCCATTTTGACTTCGTTTTTCTTTGGTTCCCAGTAATACCGTTGCTTTTCCTTTAGCATTAAATGCTAATTGTCCTTTCAAACTAATACTTCTGTCGAGTAATCTACTTTTTTGTACTTTTGTTGTGAAACTAATAAAATAAACTATCAAAAGTGGGGATTGGAATAGTAGAGTGAGAAGAGGAGAGAGATATAATTATTATATATTTTACTGATCAAAGTACTTCCAGATTTCAAGGTTACAAATGAAGTAAGATTTACCCCTATATATAGGTGATCCAAGATCAAGGTACATGAACCCTATTAAATACAAATACATGAATTTAGTACATCAAGTACATCCATAAATGGGTTCATCCAAAATACCAATGAATCTAGAGAGAATACAAGTATTTATCTACTTGAGAATATCAATGGATATTCACATCTTTATCATTATTTCATAATACTCCCCCTTGAATGTCCATTATACAAAGAATATCTCTCGTTAAAACTTTACTAGGGAAAATCCCAGTGGGACAAAAATCCTAGTGAAGGAAAAAGAGTACACTATTCTTGTGTAGTAATTTCTCCCCCTGATGCAAACTTTATTTGAGATCTTTTAGCCGACGCATTCCAATATTCTTCACCAGTTTCCCAAATGTAGCAGTCGGCAATGCCTTGGTAAACAAATCTGCCAAATTATTATCCGATCGGATTTGTAGCACATCAATCTCACCATTCTTCTGCAAATCATGAGTAAAGAAGAATTTCAGTGAAATGTGTTTCGTCCTATCTCCTTTAATAAATTCTCCTTTTAATTGAGCTATACAAGCTGCATTATCTTTATATAAAATTGTTGGAGGATTTTCCTTCTCGGAGGATAACCACAACTCTTCTGGATGTAGTGGGTCATTGATCTTAGCAAACGCATTCTCGATTGACTTCATGAATTGCTATTATTTCAGCATGATTTGATGAGGTGGCAGTTAAGGATTGTTTTGTAAAACACCAAGAAATGGCTGTTCCACCACAAGTAAAGAGATAGCCAGTCTGAGATCGTGCTTTATGTGGGTCAGACAAATACCTAGTGTATGCGATTAAAATTTCAAGTCTACAAAATGACAAGAAAAGAGAAATACACGATAAATATGTAATATATAAATTTAGAAATATGTGGGTACAATCTATGGAATTTTCTCAAACTTATAGAGAACTTCCTTCGATTCTTCTCCTCGAACGCTAACCCAAGGGCTTCGCAGCTTGTACTTGGATCAACCGCCGATTCTTTCAAATCTTGATATAGAAGATTTGAAGAACTTGAAAATATTTGAAAACTCAAGCTTTGATATATGGAAGACTTGAGGAGCTTGAGGACCCAGACCTTCGTAGCTTGGAGCTTCAATGCTTGAGCGTATGAGATGCCTCTGGATGACTCTAAGTCTCTGTGTGTCCCTGATTTGGTTTGAGAGACCCCTATTTATAGCTATAGCAAGAGGTAGAGGTTGAAGACCTGTGTACCACTTTACTTGTCTTGCAAGACTTGCAGTCACATTAAGATTGTGTCAGCCAAATATTATCTCTTCATTTTATATTTATCAATAAAGAGATAGGTAATTTCTCGATTGGCCAAGCTTGTGGGGACAAGTGACGTGGCACCGTCTGATTGGACAAACCATTGCAGTATATAAAAGATATATATGGATCAAACGACTCTAAATATTATCTCTTTAATAAGAAATAAATACTTAGATATTTATCCAATAGACATGTGACATGATATGATTTAGTTGGGGGAGATATCCCTGCAATTTGACTTGATTTGGAACACCTCACCTTGACACATGGCAAAATATATTTGGCCATTTAATAACTAATTTTCCAAGTGTACATGAGATGCCTCTGGATGACTCTGAGTCTCTGTGTGTCCCTAATTTGGTTTGAGAGACCCCTATTTATAGCTATAGCAAGAGGTAGAGGTTGAAGACCTGTGTACCACTTTACTTGTCTTGTAAGACTTGCAGTCATATTAGGATTGTGCCAGCCAAATATTATCTCTTCATTTTATATTTATCAATAAAGAGATAGGTAATTTCTCGATTGGCCAAGCTTGTGGGGACAAGTGACGTGGCACCGTGTGATTGGACAAACCATTGCAGTATATAAAAGATATATATGGATCAAACGACTCTAAATATTATCTCTTTAATAAGAAATAAATACTTAGATATTTATCCAATAGACATGTGACATGATATGATTTAGTTGGGGGAGATATCCCTGCAATTTGACTTGATTTGGAACACCTCACCTTGACACGTGGCAAAATATAATTGGCCATTTAATAACTAATTTTCCAAGTGTACATGACATATGGCAATATCCGATTGGACAGAAACAAGCCATAAAAATAATTTATAGACCAATGGTAATTTCAAGAATTAATTAAAATTTCATTGTCTACAAATGCCCCTTCGAAACTTGTTTGCGAAGAGTAAAACTTGAACGGGTAAGTTTCGACTTTATAATCTCCCAATTTGTTAAGCGAAATACGTTGATTTTCTCCCTTCACTCGCCATTTAAGGAAACCGACCTCTATGCTCCATTAAGAATAATAATAATAATAATGGCCATCAACTTTAATTATAACCTTTTGTCTCAAGAAAGCCAATATATTCATATGGGGAACATTGCATATTGCTTGCTTAACCATTCATGTGCAAGGCCTTTCAAAGATGAAATCATAGGAATCAATTGATCTTCCATGCATCTTGTTTACCAATCACACTCGGAAATCATAGGAATCCAATTGATCATAGAAATCATGGGAACCCACAGAACTCCACCGCTTCCAAACTTCAAGACCACTTCTTCTTGTCGGTCTCGGGAGCTTGAGCGGCAAATCATCAAAATTCCTCTAATATGACTAGGACTCTTGAATCAACAACTTCCATTCCTTGTTAGTCTCGAAGTTCAAGCAATTTAGAAGTCTGAAACCCAATTGCAATAGAGACCACCATCAGTGCAGAGCCAATCTCCCCAAAACTTACAAAGACCTCGCGAGAAATTTCTTTCCTTCGGCCGAGAGACTTCCAACAGAGACCTAATCCTATTCGGATTAAAGCCACGCTCCTGCTCATCTTTCATAGGATTTAGGATCAGTCCCCCATTATAAATAGCTAAGTCCAGGCCATTAACTCCTTAATAATAAAGAACTTGAAAGAGTTTATGCTTTGCTTCATCGAATCCTTGCTAGTGTGGCCATTGCTATTACAACCGCCACTTGCTTGTTCGTCAAACGCTGCTGCCGTTGCTTAACACCAACCACTATTGCTGCTACTCAATTGGTATCTACCCACTATTTGCGTTCTGACGGAAATGGTTCCCATTTATCAGGTACCCCAAAACTCTACTTTCGGCACATAATTGTTGAGAGAAAACTCGACAATGGCTTTTGCATGTTTTACTTGGATTCACCCTTGGTGTCCTGCACACGAGTGATACTTGGAACTTGCATCTTACGCATGTTACGTTTTGAACCCGTAGGATAACATAGCCTTCTAGTCATCTTGCGGCATGGCTTCAATTTATTTCAAATCCAATGTTTAGCGTCATATCTGATCTACTTGTTTCCCCATTGCGCATTCAAGAATTTGGTTTCAACATTGTAGACTTGTTCCTTTGTGTAGTCTTATTGATAGCCACCTTTGTCGAGACACTTATGGGCTAGTTGAATTGGAGGTACATGTACTAAGCTTTGTCTACTAAGCATCACATGTATCCTCTTCTTTATTTATTTCGCGTGAAGCTTCCCACTGCAAGAACTGATCATATTATGGCTGCCCGTCGTCTCTTAATGTGAATATTTGACATTTAGGTGCCCCAAGACTTTTTTCGAGCACTTAATCATTAAAAGAAACTTTCGGCAATAGATTTTGTGCGCTTATTTTGACACATCCTTGATGTTGTGTGTCTAATGCGACGACACTTTTGGCCAATATCACCATGATTAATACTTTTATATTTGCATGCAGTATTCACAGCTACTCTTCATCCATGATTGTTCTTTCGAATGCTCATACCTTCGTTAAATTGCCCATTAATAGCCCCTTTTTGTCGTGTTTGTTTCCGACACCAGTTTCCAACAGCAATTCTCCAAAAGGAAGATTATCCTCGGGGAACTTTGCCGAGCCACAAGCATCAATCATCATTCATCGGCTGCACTTCAATAATTTTTTTTTCTTTTTGCTCATCAGGTACTTGAGGCTTCACCCTTTTTTACTTGCAATATTTAATTATTACAAGAAACTTTAGTCAATTGAGACGCTTAGAGCCCCCACGATTTTACGAAATAATTCTCAAAATATTATTTGAGAATGAAGCTCGGGTCTCGATTGAAAGACTAAAATTGGCCGAATGGTGATTGGTGCCTTTTTAAATATTATTCGAGATCATGTATGCCATTTAAATATTATTTGAGAATGAAGATTGGCTCCAAAATATTTTTTTTTGAGCTATTCCTCAGGGCTGAAATTTAATCTCGATTTTCGTACCATTTTTTTTCATCTATTGGGATAATACCAAATATGATACTTGAGCCCCTTCTCTCTCTCTCTCTCTCTTTTTTTTTTTTTTGCTCGTCCAGTAGGATAATACCAAATATGACATTTGAGCAAAATCTTTTCCCCTCGTTTGCTAGAACTCCGACCTTAATTGTTTTTCTCTTTTTTTTCTCCCCTTTTTTTTTGCCGCAGTGCATGTCAATATTTTACTAATTTGTTCTTCTGTAGATAACCCACCTCGTGCCCGAAAAGGAGCTTAAAATAATTTTGGGAATTTGAAGAAAAGGCAACCAATTAGGTAATTTAATTACCAAACTTTTTTGCACGAAGCTCCCTGCATCATCTAATATTTTCTTTTACAAAATTCCAGCAATCATGCAAATTAAGGACTACACCGTGCCACTGCCGCATATTTCACTGACGGATAAACGGGGAGGAACTCAATCAAAGAGCTTGTCACTACATGTTTACAAACCAGCAATCGGCCCGCTCGCTGAATCCTTCATACCCCTCGAAGGATGTTTTCATCTTGAAGATTGGACTAGCAAGTGGACTAAGGAAATGGTGGCACCGTCGACTTTCTCCACTACGTCGAGGGAAGAAGAAGTGGTCGTATTAAACTCGTCACTTCACAATGGAGATTCGGAAATAATCAAATTCACGCTTCCGTTCGTGGGATTGAATATTGACAAAGCTACATGGAAAATCCCTTCGTCCTTCTTCGGTGAGGCGTGCTTCACCTCCCATTAGTGGAAGTGGGTTGAGGACATGCTTGGAATGTATAAAGAAATACTCACACGCGCTAGCATATTTGAAGCCGTCTACGCATCAAGATACTCCTACGACCGCTGTGAAAATATCTTGCGAGCCTTCTTCAAATATTGGTGTCCTTCGACGAACACACTTCATACGCCCGTTGGGGAGTTGTCCATCACACTTTGGGACCTTTATCGACTTGGTGGCCTTTCGATCGATGGCACGTTTTTCGATGAAGTTGTTCCTTCGGCGCAGGAGCTCCTCACTCATGACAAAGAAGGGAAGCCACTTCTCCCCGAGAGTTGTAGGTACCTCTTTTCCACCTACTACCACCTTTGGACGAATGACCAAAGGGTATGGATGAAGGATTGGATTCGCTTCTGGTTTAAAGGAGAGGGTAGGTATAGGGCTCCTCCGAGTAGAGCGAATAGAAGGAAGACCACATCTAAACCAAAATTGACTTACAACCCTTCTGGAAACGTGGAGCCTTACGACCTTGCCGATACGAATGACTTCAATGTCCCTTTTGACACCCTGGGTATCCTATGGTCTCTAAGAAAGGAAACCTATATTGCGGCATTCATAGCGTGTTGGATTTGCAAGTTCCTTTTGCCAAGCAAAAAGGTTGATCGTATTCGTCCAAGTGTCTTCAAGGTTGCATGCTTAATGGCTACAGGGAAAAAATTTTGTCTTGCAATTCCCGTCCTTGCAAGCATATATCATGGGTTGAGGGAGATCATCCACGCCCTTAACCTTGGAGAATGTGGGGTAACTTTTCCAATCCATTACGTCTATGTGAGAACCTCGAAAAAATGACTACATACATATATACATCTAGGCATATTGCATTGGTATTCTTGATTATTAAATAAATTCTAGCTTTATTTCTACTTGTTCTTAACTAAGTAAGTGAAAACAATTCTCAGGTTACAAGTAATATAATTGTGCTAAAATATTAAATTACTTGGTTTTGTTAAGTTAACATCTCTTGAGGTAGATTATTTTATAGTCTTAATATAAATTCTTTGAATTCCAATAGCTAATCTTAAGCGTTAATAATGATTAAGTGTTAACGAGAACCTTAGCATCAAGACGAAGTCGATATATTTTGGAATTAGATTAGGATTGAGGACTTAAGTGGAAATTCGGATGAAATGTGAAAAGACCAAATTGGCCCTCCACCATCTCGGATTTACCATGCAACCACCAAAGCTTCATTGGCCAACTTTAAAACACAAACATTTTCATCTTTGCCGGATTGCATTTCATTCTCCACTCACACACTCCATCTCCTTCATCCGCGATTTATCTCTCCATTTCAGCAACTCCAACACCCCACAACACCATTCCATTTCACTCCATTCCCTGCCTTGGTATCATCGACGAGAGGAAACCAGAGAGAGAGCTGTGCGAGTTGCGAACCTTGAACTGTCCGAGAGAGGGTGAGAGCAAGAGATAACCGTGCGAGCTTCATTACTTCCTCCATCACCACCGAGAGCTGTCATTTCATTCTTCACCCTCAACCAGCCATGATCAATTCAACCACAACCACCACAGCTGCAACCACTGAACTCAGACCAACCATCCTCGCGTGCGTGAGCAAAGCCGAGAGGAGAGAAAAAAAATTTTCAGCTTTCTGGTCGCGTGAGTGAGCTCCATTTGAGGTAATTTCTGAACTGAAATTAGCTGATTATAGGCATATGAGGTCAGCTATGGACTTGCATGTGATGCTTGTGCGTCCGGATGTTGAATTGCAACATAGGAAAATCTGATGTGAAGAAAAATGGGTTGCGGCTGAGAGAAGGGGTTGAACATTTGATTAGTTTTTTTTCGAATTTGTAGCTAAGATTTTCATATGGGATGTTTAAGATTTGCTTGTAGCTTGCTAATCACCTTTTGCATGTTGAGTTGAAGAAAAAAAAAATTGAAGAAAACTAGGGACAAAAGCTCTATAAATAAACTACTATATTGCTGGAAGTTGGATTTGGAGGCCGGCCGAATTAATTGAGGTTTTTGGGTGAGGTTATTTCTGGATTTGTGTGTTACTTGTTTTGGTTTTGGTTGGATGGATTATGAGGTATATATTTGGTGTTTCAAGCAAATAAAAGATGGAGATTTAATGGATGTCTTGAATTGGCAATTGTTGGATTTTTCTTGATTGTCGAAACAAGAAAAGAAAATCTGAGTTCCTAAGTGTATTTGTGAGTAAGCTAACCGTGACTTTCTTTTATGTTTGAGTTAAATTTCTAGTTGACTTGTTGTAAGAAATATTTGTTTGATGCCAAGAGCTGATGATTGATAAAACTCTTGGCCATTTGAGTAATTTTTTTTGCAAGAATTTAATTTTTGGTGAATTCGTTCAATTAGTTGGCTGAAATATACTTGGAAGGTCCAAGAATTGTGGTTTGGAATCGTTTGATATCTTGGACTTCCTTTGTTTAATTTTGATTGGATTTGAATATGTTGAAACCTAGGGCTAATGATTGATAAAGCCCTAGTGAAATTGATGTTTGGTTTGTGATTTTACTATATTGGTGACTTGGAATTCAAAGTGCAAATGAGTTGGAATCGTGAAGTCCGTTTTGGTCTTTTGAATTCGAGTATTTTTGATCAAGATTTATTGAAATATTTTATCTTAATATCAAGTTATAGAATTATGTATAGTACGATAAAACTAAAATTTAAATGTCGGGATTTTTTTTTAGAACCTTGCTAACTAGTTAATTCTTTTCTTCGCTTAAACTAGTTCTAGTATTTTTAAGAAATAATTGTATTAACTTCCAAACTTTAAGTTTTTCATAAAATTATCCTTGGCTAGTTGTTTTAGAGGAAAATTGTTAAAAACATGAGATTTTAATACTTAAAAAAAAAAGACTTAGAAAACCTGTTCGGTAAGAAAACCTGTTTGAATTAAATTGGTTTTAGTTGTACCTCTAGAAAGAAAAGTAGCTTTAAAGGAATCATACGAAATATTTTATTACTTTACTAGCTTTAATTCTAAGAGATTTATTGATTTATTCCGAGTAAATAAATTAGTTTTATACCAGATAATCTTTTGTATATAAACCAAGGGCTTGTTTAGTAAAACTTATAGTTTTTAAAACTTGGATTTCTAGGGTTTAGCGAGGGCGTGGATTTCGATTCCCAACTTGACTTTTGAGCTTCACTTTTGGTGAGTGTCCGTGCTTGTTCTCTGATTAACTTGTTAAAGTGCTTTCTTGACTTGTTATGTGATATTTGGAAAGTGGTTTTCCTGATCCGTCGAAGTGGGCAGTGTGTACTTTATCGCACTAGCCCTTTTGAGTGGTGATTTGCTTGAAATATTTTCTCGAATATCTTGCTTGCATTAGTTAAGTACTGAGTGGGGGAATATACCACACCTGAGGGTGGGAGGGCCTCTTATCCTATCTCAAGTACTAAAACCTTGAATTTGTTGACTGGAGCGTGGACTCGTCAACTAATCTACCAGGCAGGGGAATGTACCACACCTTAGGGTGGGAGGGCCTCTTATCCTGACCTGGTAACCACTTGTTGTGACGTCGTTGGGTGAATCCCTCGACTAGTTTATAAAAAGGTATACTCGAGTAATCCAAACTCTTTCGTGAGGTGTGCGGGCCTGATGGGAGTAAGTTGGTTGGAGCGTGTTAAGGAAAAAATAATGAATCTACATGGACTTTAGATAGTGACAATTGACGGAGGGTCAACTGCGGTTAATTTTGATCAAGCTAGTGGAAAATGGCTCCTGAGAACCCCTGTGTCCTACCCTGTGCTGTTATACGCTTTTCTACTTGCTAAATTTTATCTTGAAGTTATTATTTACTGTTTGTGTTATATGATTGCATGTTTTGGGCACTACTGAGCTTTAACTCACCACACGATATTTGTTTTCCTTAACAGGTTTTGGCATTCGAGAGATTTGAAGTCTGCTTTTAGCTTTTGTACTGTTGTGTTGGATTGACTATGTATCTTTTGTTTTGGGTTGTCACTTGAAGCTGGAAAAGTGCAAACCCTAAGTTTTGGCTTGTATGAATTTATTTGACCTTTATGAGTTTACTGTGGGGTTTGTAATGTATATTTGTAGTTTTGTGTTGAGCTGGTCGGAGATGTATTTAAGAGTGAACGTTCAGATGTCCAATGGCAATGTTATCTCTGAAATTAATGTGTTTTAGTATTCCGGTCGTTTAAAGGTCTGGCATGTTCGGATGACAAATTTTGTGTTCGTTTAAGTTATACGTGGAAAGGGTTTAGTCAGTTTTCTTGCATGAGTTCTGGCGAGAGTTAGGCAGGCGACCCGCCAACCCTCTGGTGCGCCTTAGGGAGAAGTGGGGCTGCCACAGTCTATGCTTGGATTGGCCAATACTTCGATGTATATTACGAAAATTATCAAGTGAGTAGCCACCACGCGCGCATGACAAGATTTAGTGGTGAGAAAATGATAATATTTTATGGCCAATTGGAAGTTAAGGAAATTTTCAAAGAAGTGAATCCTTTGATGCTTCCTAAATTGTGCTGGACTGAGAATAAAGAAAAGGCGTTTATCGATGATGGATCCTTATCATCAAGACTCACGAGCTACTTTATTTAGTCAACGCTCTTGCCATTTAACTCTACGTAAGGACAATACTTTTATTATTGAAAAATATAATCCTTATAGGTTCAGCAGACAATTCGGCTTCTGTCAGGACATCCCCAACAACTTGAAAAGAGATCACTCACACTTATACTTTGGGTGAGGCTATTCAACTATGAAATTCTTCAGTTCGCACGCAGACGTGATCTCGGATGACTATACCCACACACAGGAAGCATCCATTGATCACAAAAGACTATGATGCCTGGTGGTCGACTCGGTCAAATAGTGTCTCTTCAACTCCCTTAAAATTCACCGCTAAAATCCCTCAGCAATCATCGAAGAAAGATACGGTTACCTTCGCCAATGAGTTAGTGCATTCTAATGGAGTTATAGAGATTGTAACGGATATTACCTCATCCACCTTACGGAAGAACAAAACCGTTAGCAGTCCCTTGAAAAACATTGTTGCAAGAAATAAGTCTTCCAAGAACTCTCGACAGGCCATCAAAGAGGCGCAACCAGTGATTCCAGCAAAGAAGATGCCGCCCAAGGTTTCAAAATCTTTATCAGTGACTCACACAGAAGAAGATGTCGAAATTGAAACGATGGACGGTCGTGATTCTATCGAGGCTATAGAAGAAGAAGGGACTCAAACTCAGGGCATCGAATCTACCAAAGAGGAGCCCATTCGTTGGCGAGTGGCAGTAGTAGCCAAGACCGTCATGGGAACCGATCGAAGAAGAGGATATCTTCTGATTTGGAGGAAGTTTCCTTTTCACCACTGTCGGTTGGAGTGTCGCCACTTAAGGTAATCATATCTTCTTTTTTTTTTTTTTTTTGCAACCTCCTTTTTTCCTTTCTTTTTTTCATTCCTTTTTTCCCCTTTTTTTTTAACTCTGATAACATTTTTTTTTCCAGCCCCCACTTCTTGAATTCCGCCAAGAAGATGTTGGTACCAACTCACCAATTGAACTTGAAACTGATGCTATAATTTCAAAAAGAAAGGTGACGAAGTCGTTATCAGCATCCCAAAACAACTTGCCCCCAGTGGAGGTGCCTTGTCAAAGAAGGAGCTGACTAATTTGCATGAAATCCGGAAAAAACCTAAGGTAGCATTGGTTTTAGAATTTCATGGTCAAAAATTGATCCAGGCTCATCGAAGAAAGTACTTGTAAAGTTTGTTGATGAATTTTTGGGGACAGATTTTTGACACTCCAATTGAGCAGATCTCTTTTTTAAAAGAGTGTGCTGAGGAAATCATTGCAGAAATCACAAGAACGGATCCTACCAATGGTATCTCTTTAAAAGACCACTTGATAGAATTGTTTGTCAAGGCGGAGGCATATGATCTTTTGGCATCTTCATCGTGGGAAAGGATGAGCAAAGAAACACACGGAGAACTCCTTTCCAAAGCGACCGTCCAACTCAGAAGAGTTAAGGCAAAGGAAGAAGAACTAACGTGTCGTTTGCAAAGTCTTGAAGAAAAGTTTCAGTCCATTGAAGATAGGAAGAAAGCTTTGCAACATGAACTTATTGATTTGGAGAAACAAAGAATGGAAATCAGCTCAACCATCGATCATAAGCATGAGACCTTCAACGAGGTCCAGACCGAGATAAGACAAGCACATGATGAGCTCTCTTCTATTGAAAATACCAGCATCTTGACTGATGACGCAGTGAAGAAACTTGAAGATATGAAGTCTGCACTTGAATCATGCAAAATAGCTGTAGTGGATTATTAATTTGACATTTAGACTTTTCACCATGTCCTTTTCTTGAATTTGTTCCATTTTTTTTCTCATGTAATGAATTTTTTTTTGAATAAAATGCTTTCCGTTCCTTATCTCTTGTTTTTTTTCTTAAAGATACAAGAACTCGAATAGAGCATTTTATTTATTTTATATCTTTTTTTTGGAAAGAGAAAATTCTCTTTTTTTTTTTGCAAGGAACAAGGATTTGATTTGGAGTGGTGTAACTGAACTTAGAAGTTGCCCTCCAAACTGCCTACGTATCCCAACAAGGAATCAAATCACACGTAGTTCCTGCCGTTCACATTTTAACCTCATGCGGGTCAGGAGTATCTATTTATTTACCACCTTAGACTTGGTGGAGTGTTTCAACAGTTTAACCATTTACTACACTATTGGTGGTTGCCATCCACAATTTTAGCTCATGCAGGTCAGGAGCATCGTGAGGTTCCAATTACGCATATTACCTTTTTAGGTACTTGCCATTGATGGGGCCGACCCTTAACCCGTGTTCAGTAACCAACTTGTATAAGTCATTTGTATACACTTCTCGAACAACATAGGGGCCATCCCACTTAGGAGTAAACTTTCTTTGGCCGCCATTAGTGAGAATGATCGGTTTCCGAACGACGAGTACTAACTCTCAAATTTGGAAAGAGCGAGGTCGGACGTGCTTATTAAATGCTTTTGAAAGGCGAGCCTGATAGCACTCGATCCGTTGCTGAGCTTCCAATCTCTTTTCGTCAAGTGCTTCTAACTCCTAAAGGTGAAGACGAACATTATCTTCTTCACTGAGCCCTTCTTGAATTGCAATTCTTAGCGAAGGTATTTGACTCTCAAGTGGAAGAACAGCTTCAACACAGTAAACAAGCGTGTATGGGGTTGCTTGTGTGGGAGTTCAAAAAGTAGTTCGGTATGCCCAAAGTGCTTCTCCAATTCGAAGATGCCAATCTCTTTTCGATTTATCCACGATTTTCTTCAACAGATTACATAAGGTCTAGTTGAATGCTTCAACGAGTCCATTTGCAGCAGCATAGTACATGGACGAATTGTATTGTTTGAAATGAAACTTTTCACAAAGTTTGTTCATTGCTACATTGCAAAAAGGTTTACCATTATCGGTGATGATATAACGCGGGACTCCATACCGATAAATGATGTGCAAGCGAATGAAATTCGTTACATTCTCCTTTTTGACCTCTCTTAGAGGAACCGCTTCAACCCACTTTGAAAAGTAATCTGTCGCCGCCAAAATGAAAATGTGTCCACCAAAAAACTTTGGAAGTGGTCTAACTATATCTAAACCCCAAGCATCGAACGGCCAAGAAGCCACAGTTGGGTGCAATGGTTCAGGAGGCTGATGGATGAAATTGCCATAGAATTGACAAGTTTGACATCTTCTAGCAAAGTGAATGCAGTCCTTCACCATTGTTGACCAGTAGTATCCCATTCTTTTAATGCGAAAGTGTAATTTTGGGCCAAACTGGTAGCACCACATATCCCAGAGTGAGCCTCTTCCATTACTTGCATGGTCTCATCTTCTCCAAAACATCGTAGAAACACCCCATCGAATGATCTTCGATAAAGCGTCCCTTTGTAGTAAATGAAACGTGGCGCTCGACGACGTATATCAACCCTTTTCTTAGGATCTTCTGGTAACTTCCCATGATTAAGGTAATCAATGATGAGTGACGCCAATCCTCCTTTTCGATCTCATGGACAAAAATATGATAAGCATTTTCTTTCTTACCATCATCTTCTTCATCAAACATCGGAGGTATGACCCAATTTTGACATATTGAAATTTGATTTCGATGAGAGGGTAGAGTGATCATGGACGCCACCCTTGCCAAAGAGTCAGCTTGTTGGTTGAAACTTCTAAGAATATGTTCTATAGTGACATCATCTAAATATTCCATGAGTTGTCTTGCATACTTATAGTATGAGATCAATTTAGGTTTCTTAATATCATAAATACCAAGAAGTTGATTTACCACCAATTTTGAATCACCATAGACTCTAAGATGCAACTGCTTCATGTCTATAGTCGTTTCAAAACCGAGAATTAATGCCTGATATTCGGCCACATTGTTTGAACACCGACGTGTTAAAGTGAAAGAGTACGGCAATATATCTGTTTCAGGAGTATAAAAGATAACTCCCGCACCAGTTCCATTACGGTGAGCAACTCCATCGAAATACATTGACCACGACGATTCGACCACAAACACTTCTTCATCGAGGAGTTCATCAGTCAACTCCTACTCGGCAGGTATGGGATGATCGGCTAAAAAGTCTGCCAATATTTGTCCTTTGACAGCCTTCGCAGGTACATAAATAATTTCGAATTGTTGAAACTGGAGGTACCATCTCGCGAGTCGATCAGACAGTACAGGTTTTGCCATGACATATTTAATGGGATTAGACTTAGATATGAGTCGAATAGTGTATGCTTGAAAATAATGTTTTAGCTTCTGAATGACAAATATAAGTGCCAAACACAACTTCTCGATGGTGAGTAATTCAACTCATTAGGTGTCATCATCCGACTCAAATAATACAGCGCATTCTCCTTACCTTCATCATTTTCTTGAGCAAGTAAGACCCCAACCGACCGTTCTTGAGCGGAAATATAGGGAATTAATGGTTTTCCTGGGATGGATGCAGCCAACACTGGGGGATTCATGAGGTACGTTTTGATGCTTGTAAAAGCATTCCTACATGATTCATCCCACTCGAAGGGCACTCCTTTCTTCATCAATCGACTGAAGGGTTGGCATCATCCGGCCAAATTAGAGATAAATCTCTGAATATATGCCAACTTCCCTTGAAAGCTCTTCAATTCATGAATATTTCGCGGTTCAGACATGTTCACAATGGCATCAACTTTAGATCGATCGACCTCTATCCCCCGTTGATGAACGATGAAACCGAGAAATTTGCCAGAAGTGACTCCAAATGCGCACTTCAAAGGATTCATCTTTAATTGGTATCTCCGAAGGCGTTGGAAAACTCTTTGAAGATCTTGAATATGATCCTCTCGCTTCTTTGATTTCACCACAAGGTCATCAACGTAGCACTCCACATTTCTATGGAGCATATCATCAAAAATTCTTTGCATTGCCTTTTGATATGTCACTCCAGCGTTCTTCAAGCCAAACGGCATCACTTTATTGCAATAAATTCCCTTGGGGTGCGGAAGGCAGTGAGTTCCTCATCCTTAGGTGCCATACGTATTTGATTGTAGTCAGATGATTCATCGAGAAAAGATAGTGCTTCGTGTTCGATCGTAGCATCTACCGTCAGTTCTGTGATGGGGAGCGGAAAATCATCCTTAGGGCAAGCCTCATTTAAGTCTCGAAAATTAACACAAATTAGGATTTACCCATTCTTTTTCCTCACAGGGACAATACTTGAAATCCATGTTGGATATTTCACTTCTCGTATGAACCCAGATTCAATTAGTCTATTTATCTCATTTTCTATCAGAGGAATCAATTCGGGCCAAAAGCGCCTTTGAGTTTGCTTGACAGATTTTGTTTCTCGCTTGACAGATAAATTATAAACAGCGACTCTAGGATCCAAGTCAGGCATTTCTGAGTAATTCCAAGCAAAGACATCTTTGAACTCGAGCAGCAAATCAACATACTCTTTCTCTTCTTCAGGAGTCATACAAGAACTTATGTAAATTGGACGAGGGTCGTCACATGTGCCAAGATTAATCTCTTTTAGGGCATCGACTGTATTTTTTACTCCTTGTTCAAATTCAGCGGGAGCGTCATCTGCATCTTCTTCTTCTTCTTCGGGATCACTGATCGTGATATGATGGCAAGAAGCAATACTTTCTTGATCTTGTTCTTCAAAAATGGTTTCAATTCTTACATTAAAGAAGTCTCCATAGTGCATGAAGAAATTGGAGACTTGCTTTCTTGGTCCGTTCTTCTTTATTGGAGTAAGATTTTCTTCCTTAACAACTTAGTACTCTTGCTTTTTACTGCCTAATCTTTCATAGATAGACGGTTTCAAATCTTTCGGCTGTGGGCCAAGTCTGTCAAACACAGAAGTACGTTTTGATTTATTGAACACAGATTTCCTTCGGCTTGTGACCTCCATTTCCTCGTTTACGTAGTTATAACTTGCCCTTTTGATCATTATACGCACTGGAGAAGACGGTTGATAACCAAGACCCATTGACGAACTTTCAACATTATAACCTTTTTCTTTCAACATTTTCTGCGTAAGT